ACTGTCCTGGAGAGTGTGAGAGAAACCATAAAACAAAACTCAAAATAAAAAAAAAAAAAAAAAAAAAGGCCACAATAAATATTGTATGAGACCACGATCATAAAAACTCAAGAAAAGGTTTTCATGCTCAAAGAAGCATTCTTTGATGGTAGGAGGGGTGGGAGGAAAATAAGAGTAACTCACAGGCTAGAGGGTTGTTAACTGCTGTCCAGTCAGTTTCGACTCGACTCACAGTGACCCTCTACAGGGTTTCCAAGGAGGGGCCGGTGGGTTTCAACTACCGTTTTTTTTGGTTAGCAGTCCAATGTTTATCCTACAGCGCCACACCAGAACTCTGCTTATCTTATAGTTTGTGTCTTGTTAGTGATAACATGTAGGGAAAAATGGCAGAGTGTGTTTACAGGGGGCTGTATGCACAATCCGCCAAAAGCAAACAAATTTGTGGCACATGCATTATTTGCGAAAAACTACGGTATGAACCACACAGGGTTTCTGCGAAGGATGCATGAAATAAGGTCATGTGTTTAACACAGAACTTGCACACAGACAGTGATGAATCACAGCAGCTTGTATAACACACTCTCTTTATAGTCATCCCACTGGGTCTGCTCAACAAATCGGTAAGTGACTTTTCACCATCAGCACTTTAGCGATGAGGAAACAGGGGCTCAGGAAGGGTCTCATCGCAAGCCCAAAGTCACACCGCGCTATTAAGTAGCAGAGTCCAGCTTCTAAGTAATAAGACTTCAGGAAACTGACACAAAATGTGCTCCTTGTTCCAAAGAACAGCCAAACAATCAATACGCAGTATGCAGTACACAGGCACTGACAATGTCTGAAATATACAAGTTCACAAATGGTTTCTGCAATCTTAGCACACTGGCAGCCCTTTAGAAAAAGAAGGCATGGTAAAAATCAACCTCAGGGGGCGCTGTGTTCAGAGGGCATTGAGTTCGCGTTAATGGTGATAAATCGGTTTGCAAAAGGACAACAAGAAAAGGCTGCACAACCTGAAGAAAGTAGTTGTTGTCACCGAATTGGACACTTGGAAAACTGAAGTGGTGAAGGTTTCATGGTGTGTTTTCATCAAAATAAAAGCACAAAGTAGCCCTGTTCATGGTGGTGAAATACTCAGGAAACAGACAGCGGTAACGCTTGTACAGTGTGAGGAACGAGAATGAGATTAATGTCACAGATTATACACCTAAAAAATGCTGACTAGGCAAATGTTGTTGTTAAATGCACCCTAGAGCCGGTTCAAACTCATACGGTTTCCAAGGAGTGCCTGGTGGGTTTGAAACACTGACCTTGTGGTTAGCAATCCAGTGCTTATCTTACAGCACCACACCATATGTGTGTGTGTGTGTGTGTGTATCCCCCCCCCACCCACACACACACACAGGAGTCCTGGTGTGGTGTGGCGCTCTGGGCTAATGTGTCAGACTGCAAAGTCATTTGAACTGCAAGGTCAGTGATTCAAGCTCACCAGCTGCTCCTTAGAAACCCTACACAGGATCGCTATGGATCGGAATCAACTCAACGGCACTTAACAACAACAACAAGGAGAGACCCAAGATGGCACAGCAATTAAGCGCTCAGCTGCTAACCTAAGGCTGGTGGGTCTGCCTTAGGAACCTTATGGGCAATTCTACCCTATCTTATAGGGTCACTAAGAGTAGAAACTTAGTTGGCGGTTCTAGACTAGGTGTACTTTTGCTTTGGGTATAAACGAATTAACAGTGTGGTACCAACATCCATGCACAATAGTACTACAACAACAACAACAACGGCACTATGATTACTGTGTATGTTACCACTGGGAGGAGCTGAGTGTAGGGTCTATGGGAGCTCTCTGTACTATCGTAAAGAAAGAATCAATGTATTTATGCATACAGATGGCCCTGGGCGGCGCTGTAGGGTGAGCACTGGACTGCTAACCACAAAGTGGGCAGTTCAAACCCACCAGGTGCTCCTCAGAAACTGCATACCGGGTTGCTATGAGTCAGGACAGGCTCAAAGGCACTTAAAACAACCGCATGGTCACCATGAGTCATCTAAACTTAGTGGCAACAAGGCTGGTATTCTGGTTTATGGCGAAAAACACCCAAACCAAAGCCCACTGCCATTCTGCCAATTCTAACTCACGGTGAGCTACAGAGGGTTTCCAATGCTGTCTGTCGTTACTCCAATAGAAAGCCACATTCTTTCCCAGGCAGAGTGGCTGGTGAGCTTGAACCACTGATCTTGCAGTTCGCAGGACAGCGCTTATCCTATGGCGCTCCTTTATGCGTAATACTCAGGATAAAATTATCCCAAAATGAAGTATTCAAAAAGCAAACCCGCTAACACTTCACAACGAGGATAAATCCGTTTGGCAAAAATGGACCAGGGTGAAAATGGAGAGCAGCCCAGAGGGCCCCCTCACCCACGAGCCCTCCAGCAGGTCTCCGGTTCATTGGGGCGGAGGGCCTGCTACAGTAGGTGTGAGCAGGGCCCAGCCCACCTGCTCGATGGAATCCCACATGTACAGTTCCCCCTGCTGCTTCTGTTCGTCCTTCTTGTCCTCCACATTGATGTCCACATCGCCTCGGGGACCCAGCTTCTTATGCTGAAGGGGAAGAGAGAAGCACATGACCCAGGTCTGGGATCCGCAGGACAGCAATGCTACCTCAGGGCCTTTGCATTTGCTGTTCTTGCATCTGGGCTTCTCTCTCTGGATGGTCTGGTTTGTATGAGTGTCATGTCCTTAGAGGAATGTCCCTGAACACTTCCCCTAGAAAGATCCTAGTCAACATGTTGTGAGGCTGGGTGTGAGTATCCCCACTTGCACGGCAGGCACGGGAGCACACTCTCGGAAGCCAGCCAGACCTGGCCTCAGATGCTTCCCTTAGCAGACAGCACCACATCTTTCCACATAGAAGTTACCCTCAGAAATCCCGGGCCCCTGCCTACACCACCCACAGGAAATTAATCAACGAGGTAAGGTACAGTGTTTGCCAAATAAACCTTATAACGCTCACAGTATATACATAAAATCATGGTATCACGTCACGCTCAGAGTGAGCTCAGGACAGGGGTTCTGTTACTGTACCCCAAGACCAGTGAGGGCAGAGAGGCAGTGAGAAGTTGAGGGGTTTGCCTGTAAGCAGAGCTGGAATCAGACCCTGAGTGGCCAGGTAGACCCAGAGGGTAAAGCAGGGCAGCAGGCCTGGGACCCACCTTGATGATGATCTTCCCGCGCAGCTGGCTGGGTGAGGGCAGCTGGTCAGCACTGGCCTCAGTGGGCTTCACCAGCAGCAGGTCGTCCAGCACCTCCTTGAACACCTTGGCCATGTAGCGCTGCTGTTCCACGCCACAGTGCTGCTCAATGGACAGGACCACGGGGAAACTGCGGCCAGAGGGGGGACTCAGGGGGCAGCTGGGGTGACCACTGCTCTAGCACACTCCCAGCCTGGCCAGCAGAGAAGCCAGGAGTCGCCCGACCCCAGGGAAACAGGCACCAGGTCATGCCTGTCTGAAAGCAAACTAAGGGTCTGCTCACATGGAGCAGCCCACCCGCCATATGGGGCAGACTGCACGCGGGGCACAAGCCCAGCGGTCACAATAACTCTAATTCACGGAGTAAGGAGCTCCGGTAGCGTAGTGATTACGAATCTGGCTGCGAACTGCGAGGTGAGAAGTTCGAAACTACCAGCCGCTCCGTGGGAGAAAGATGAGGCTTTCTGCTCCCGTAAAGATTGACAGCCTTGGAAACCCTGTGCAGGGTCACTATAAGTTGGAACCAACTCCACGGCACATAACAACAACAACAAATTCACGGAGTCTCAAAATCAAGCACTCCAAATCACTTCTCTATGCCAGGTCAGAACCACGTACAAAGCCTACAGAGATTTCTCTTACTTGTCTTTCAATCCACTCATTTCTTTTAAACTTGGGAGGGGGTCGGGGGTGTGTGACTAAACCAGAAGTCCCTACTCTTTTTTGAACAATTAAAAATCTGCAGGAAAGGTAAAAAGATGCAATGAGCACTCGTACATCCTGCGTCAGAAGTCAGCAACATTTGGCATTTTGCACAGATGCATCTATACAGGTGAGTCACTGAATGGTGGGGCTGGTTAATGCACTCGGCTGCTAACCAAAGATCTGGAGATTTAAGACGACCCAGAGGTTTCTCAGAATAAAGGTCTGGTGAATGACTCCCAAAAAAATCAATCACTGAAACCCCTATGGAGCTCAGTTCAACTCTGCTACACATGGAGTCACAGGTATGTGGGAGTGTGTGTGCGTGTGTGGAGGTGTTGATGGAATCTGGATCACTTCTACCTTTCAACTACAGTCAACACGTATGCAGCTGCCTTACATATGAACCGTACATACCAGCGGTGAGCACCCCATCTCAGCTGCAGAATGTTTCATGCCTACTAGTGTGTAGGAACACAGGAGCTGGGCCAGGGTCAGAACACTATGGACCGCAGGCCTGCCACCTCGTTTTGTCAATAAAGTTTTATTAGAACACAGCACACCAATTATCTGTATTGTCTGTGGCTGCTTTCAGTCCCAACAGCAGACAGACTAGCAGCCTTACGTAACAGGATCTGGCCAGGAAACAGAAGGTTTAC